GGGGAAATAGTAGGGGTCTAAACAGCCCCCTGATATCTCCCTTTTAAAATAGAAAAAGAAATTGAGGACACAGAGTCCTCAATCTCTTTTTCTGCAGCCTCTGTTCTAAATGAATGGAAAGCACGGAGACTTCCCATTCATTCAGAAACGATTTACTATCATCCAGTTTCTGAATAGGGAGGAGCCTCTGTACTGAGTGCTACTCCCCATTGAGAAACTCATGAATGAACAAAAAGTGATGTAAATCACATCCTGTTCATTCATAACCCAGTTATTTACAAACACTGGAGTGATCAGCTTCTCCTCTGGATCCCCGCTGCTCTCCTGGGCAGAGGCAGCGGGGAATCCAACTTTTCCTCGGATCCCCGCTGCATACAGATGGTGGAGAGCAGCGGGGATCCAGAGAAGCCCCAGCTACACGATCGACTGGTAGATCGAAGTCGACCAAATGGGCACCCCTGCTCTAAATTTTAGTGGGTGTGTAGGAAAGAAAAGGGGGCTTTGTGGCATTGTTCAAGGCATATTTTTCTAGGCACATATACCAACTAAAATGCTTCACTAATCCTCTCAACCTTTCCTATTCCCCTCTACTGGCTTTGAAACCTGCCAGGTCTTCTTCAGTTTATTAGCATGCCTCTTACCATTCCCCTCCAGTGCCAATGAATACTGTAATTTCCACATCTCTGGTATTATTATTGGTCTCACCACTTTCTGTATCACCACCTTTCTTCCCAGTCCACTCCAGCTTTGTAAATTTACTCAAACTCTTCTACCCCCCAATCCCTCCAGTTTCCAAGCAGATAGAGGTTTACTAGTAGTAATAATGACAGGCTGAATGGAAAAAAATGCTGCATGTTGGCCTGCAATCTTATCATCTTATACAAAGCATGGATACAGAAACTCTACAAAGGCTCTCACCAGCTCTTTCTGTAAAGTCTTCTTCAGCTCAACCATCCTCTGCTGAAGTTGTTTTATAGTCTGTAAAAAAAAATCAAATTAACAAAGTGGTTGGACTTCAGGAAATGGCTTTTAATGCAATTTCCTCAAAATTCAAAACCCAGTCTAGGCAAATGCTAAAGTTTCTAAGTCTTTTACTAGTCTTTTGCAATAAAATAAATGAATTACACATACACAATTACAATTTACAGCCAGTTCTACATTTTGTAATCAGATAATCTGATGTTTATTTTAAAAAAGGTGTTACACTAACTAAATGACATAAAAAGATGGCTTAACATTTCTCATGCCTTTCCTGTCATTCTCACCTTATTCTTTTCCACAATCTGTAGCTCCAGCTCCTGGTTCTCCCTCTGTAACTGTGGAATGTCACCATTGGATTTTAGGGTGGCAGTGCCATTCAGAGGTTCGTGCCGAGCAGCAACTGCTTCTTGCACTGAGGAGACCTGGGTATGTACATAATACACAAAATGCAGATAGTATAGAAAAGTGAAGAATGAGGGTAACAAAAACCAACCTTTCTTCTGCAGCCCATATTATCACAAATATTCAAGAGGATTAGTGGAAAAATGCTGGTGGCTTCCTTAAAGCTAAACTCCAGGCACAAAACTTTCAAATATATTTCTTTAAAGCTACAGATAAAATAAAGCCATTCTTTGTGCACTAACACCCTTACAAACCTAGATATTTGTAAAAGTAGGAGTGACATCATCACTCTGCCTGTGCAGAGAACAGAGGTGTGGGAGTACAGTACAGGCTGCTTGCAGAAAATGACAAGAGGGAGCAGAGACAAGACCAGTCACCCAACACAAGGAGAGAGAGCAGCAGTGAGCGGTGTGTGTCCTGTTTGCTCTGGTTTCCAGTTTTTGCAGGGAATTTGATCCAGCTATCCCAGGCCTCCTGGCCCCTTGCTGGGGTAGCCATGGAGGTCGGGGGGACTTCGTCTGGGAGCTCTCAGCCATGTCCTGAGCTGAGGAGCGAGATACCTGCTGGTGCAGGTGCTTGTAATTTATCTGCCCCTGCTGAGGGTGAAGGAGCTGACTCCATTCGGGAGAGAGTGGTCACCGGCATCCGGATGGTGAACAAGGAGAGAGACAAGCTCTATAAGCTTAGAGCGGAGTGCAGGCGGCTGAAGAAGCAGCGCAGTGGGCTGTACAGCCAGAACCGTGCCTCTTTGGACACAGAGATCCGGCAGTTGAAAGAGCAGGTGGAGCTCCAGGAGTCCATTTTGGCCCAGCTGGAGGGAAGAGATGGGCCATTCAAGGAGAAGTTTCGTCATGGACGTCGCTTTGAGAGCATGGCCAAGATGGGGGTGGAGGAGACTCCAAGTTCGGCTCCACTGACCCCCCAGTGTGAGGTGAGAAGCCCGGGACCATCACAGGGCTCTGGTGGTATGCTACAGGTGATCCAGGCAATGGAGTCCCCCATCCGGGAGGATCAGATGATTTTTGGAGAGGAGGACATACCAGAGGACGTACCTGATAAGGTAAAGCCTGCTAGGCCTCATTTGGTAACTAAGACTGCTTTTATGCCACTTACTAGTGAGGCCAGCATTGACTGTGTGGCGCCTCTGTATGATGATATCCTGCCCAGCAGCGCTGTGTCTTGAAGTGAATAATATTATGGTTATGTTTTGTTACTTTTTTATATAAACGTTGCCTGAGTCTTTTAATAAAAAGATTAGCAGCAATGACTGGTCTTTATTACAGGAACCTGGGCCACAGAAGGAAGGTTTTATAATGAATTACTGCACAGATCTGAAAGAAATACACAAAGCATGCCAAGAATACACATGACACTTATATTTAGACAATATTTTCTTATCTTTAGGTCTCTTTCAATCTTTGTTAACTGCTTATAAAGATTATAAAAAGGCACACACTAGTGAGCTGAATCACTCTGGGTTCTTGTATCTTTTGGGGTCATTAGCAAGATGTCTGCTCCTAAGTTTACATAAAAATAATTAAGCAGGAAGAAGTGACACTCCAAAGGGCCATGCTGAAATGCCATCAAAGATAAAATTCTTAACTGAAATCCTCCAAGCATGTTTGCAAATATAAATGTATATACAAAGCATTGTCACAGAGCATGTGTGGTATAAATGATTTTTTTCTTGTATTTGTAAAATGCTGCCGAGGCCATTGTTGCGTTTGGAGAACTTCTGACACCTATTGTTTGTTACCTGGGTGGGTGGGTGGGTGGATGGGTGTGGGTAGCCTAAACATTTGAACAGATCCCCTCCACACAGGTGGTCTTCCTCAAGTCAAGGGCTGTGGTGGAATAAAAAGGGACATTTCTTTGTGTAGGCTTCTTTCTTTTTTTGGAGTCAGTCTCCACCCGTTTCATGATTCTTGATACTGGTTGGCCGGGTGGGATTTAGTGAGATATCCAGGCCAGAGCTTCAAGGAACAACTGCTAAAAATAATTGAGGAAAATGTCTAAAAAAATCAATAGGTGGTATAATATGAAGAAATGGCCATATTGAGAAAATGGGCCACTCTGGATGATAAACAGGAAGCCATTAGAAGAGCAGGCCAGCGAGAGCACACTTAGTTTGCACTGCAGAAGGATCAAGCTGAAAAGGAGGCTGCTTACTACCAGCATCCAAAAGCCTGCAGAAAAGACTTTAAATCATTTAATTAGGCGACTGATGATATTGTCGGCTTCTTCCAGGATTTTGAGAATCAGTGCCACTTAATGGAAGTCCCGAAAAAATAGGATTTTGTACTCACCGTAAAATCTTTTTCTCTCCGTTCATTGAAGGACACAGGGAACAGAACTAGGATCATGTACCGTAGGGTAATATCGCCACCTGCAGGAAAAGGACGCTAGGCACAAAACAAACGACTAATACAGCCTAGGGGTGGCCCCTGCTGACAAGTTTCCAGTAAGTAACAAGCAGTTACCCTGTTAGGGGCCGGGACAGGCCTCCACCACGTGCAGCCTCCCCCAATCCTGGACCGTATCGGCATGAACCTTGACCTGAATGAGTGGCTTGTTGAGTCCCCGCTGATGAAGACTCCACACATTCTTTGGCCCATTTTTTTTGTTCTCCATGAGCCGATGCACCGGGCCTTCTCCCATGCCAGTTGCCGGGCGCGTGGAGATAGAGGATGCCTGGGGACCCCCTAGCTATCAGGCATATCCCCCCGCGGGAGGATACTACGGTTAATTTTGTTGCACTGTTCACTTGCGATTCTCTAACTTGCCCTTCTTTCCGCAGGTGGAAGTCGTACACTGTTATCCGTGAGCGTCCTCTGCACTTCCCCTTCCTCAGGAGCAGGGTACTTTTTCTCCCCTGCGCCTGAGTCAACGGTACCACAGCTGGAGGGCCGGGGGTTGGTCCACGGGGGGGGCTGTGGGTTTGCCAGTGGGACCGCCTGGTTGTTCCGTCCATATTTGGGTGGGGGGGCCTCGAGGTCTCCCAGATGAGGTCCCGAGGGGGCCCCACTCTGCGTGACCAATGGAGGACTGACCCGCGTACAGCCTGTCCACTTCCTGGCCTCCTTGTATATATTGTTACTTGTTGGATGCTAGATTCTGTACTTTGCGCCTGCCACTGCATGCTGTGTTCCTCAAATGTGTGATGGGCTGCTGCGGAGGGTCTACCCTTGTGTTTGCCATCCTGTCTTGGTATGCGCTGCCCCACCACACCCGAGCTCTCCTCCCCCCCCAAGGATGATTGTTGATAGGCTACAGGGTACTATTATATATGAGTTGCACCCCACGCTTTGGGTTCGGTTAGACACCTTCTGGTGAGAAAAACATCTCTGCTTACCTTTCTGCTGTTAGCATCTCGGCTACCCTTAAATTAGCCTGTTCCAGCGTTACACGCATCGGGACTCTCACCTTTGGTACTGGTCGGATCAGTAGCTTGGTCCGACTCACTCCCATGTCCTCATCCTCTGAGAGAATCTGCATAGCTCCTTCTGCTCTCTCTCTACCTTCCTTCTCCCTCCCTTCTCTTACCTTCTATTGCTCTATTCCCCTTCCCCTCTCCTACTACCCAACCCTCTGAGACACCCGCCCCTCGGAGTCTGCTTTTATAGTCCTTGACGTGCCATGGGCACGGTTAAACTAATTAATGTCCCGGTTAAATTTATGTCCCGGAGAAGTGATCTCGCTTACTGGCGGACCTGCAGAAATACAACTAGCAAGTGGTGTTCCGCCGCATCGATCCCACAACTTCAACGATCTCTCCCTTTCCGTTGGTGAAGACCGCAGCCTTAAGTACTTAGGGACCCAAATCACGCCTGACCTCTCGGACCTATTTGACACCAATCACGTCCCATTTTTTTGTAAGCTCAAACAGGACCTCCGTACTTGGAGAACCTTCTCGCTATCCTCGTTCGGCAGATGTAATTCCCTGAAGATGACTGTACCTTCTCCAGGCCATCCCTGTACGACTAGTATATAGTATATAGTGTATATCCTTTATTTGCTCTCCCCATATTAGTAGACGTATCATATCCCTCCACAAGTCAATGGGTGAAGTGGGCCTCCCCAATTTTTTCTCCTGTTACAAGGCTTCCCAATTGAACAGAGTCCTGGACTGGTGTGTTCATGGCGCTGCGAAACAATGGGTGGCTATGGAGAAAGGGGTCTATCAATTCCCCATAGAGGGTCTCCTGTAGATAGCCTCCCCTCTGACCCCTGAGGTCAACCAACACCCAATCCTACACAATACAATTGCGGTGGCCACCAGAGTGCTCAGGAGCACTGAGCTGTCTCCCTCCCCTTCTCCTCTTACCCCAGTCTTTGGGGACCCCGATTTCCGCCCGGGTTATGAAAATGCACGGCTGCTCCAGCTTCCTCGGGCAAACAAATTCAGAACGCTTGATTTTCGATCTGACTCGCAATGGCTCCCGGGTTGTGCCGTGAACATTGGTAGACACC